TCTTTGACTTGGAATATCAGCCCGTGTTATATATTATAATAAAAAATAAAAATAATGTTCAACTAAGGAACATTATATTTAAATGTTAGGCCATTAAATATTTGATTATCAAATTACCATTATTTATAAAAAATTAAGTTTCATCCTAACTCTCTTGCAGGATTATTATGGGGGTAAAGATTAAAACGGGAAGGAAACACTTTCCTATAAACTTTGTGGATGAAGAACAGGATGAGTAAGTAGGTAAATATATTTTACACGTCGCAAATATCAGACGAAGTCTGTTTAACTTGCAAGATGCAAGCACAATAGTTTTAAATAACTTTATGTTCATATAAATACACTAATGTTAACAGACATGGAGCAAAGCAATACATTTTCCCTCATGAAAGGGGCTTTATTGAAATATCACATTTATTCAGATGCAATATTCTGTCTTATGCATTAAAAAAAAGATCAGCAGTGGTAGAAAAATCAGGGAAACAAAAACTAAGTGCTTTAAAAACAGTAATATTATGTAAAAAAAAGCTTACATAATATAAAAATCAAGTTTTCAATCTTGAGACCAGGAGTATATATATGCATAAATCAAGCTACTTCTTTTCAGGGCAAGCAACATTACGCAGAAAGAGTTAAGAAATATTAAGCCAAAGAAATTAGAGGCATGAGATCAGAAAAGATAATCTAACTAAATATAGTTTAAACCAGAATATTCAATACACTTCTCCATTCCTTTCATCATATTCACACAAATTCACATTTTTTAAATTTCTCATTTTTAAGTTATATCATTAATTTCACCTAATCATAACTTCCTCTCCATCTTCTTATTTACTTCATTTATGTATTTATTCTCATTCTGTCTAACCAATTCAACATTTCTTTTGTAATTTTACATTCAATCTATGATCAGCATTCAATCATTCTTGACCCTCACTCTTCTTTTTTCACCAAGCTCAAGTCTTAAACTACTTCATTCCCATTCCTTTCTATTTATTTTTATATCTTCCTTAATATAACCAATTCTCCCTTGCATATAACAAAATGGCAAAACCATATTCTTTCTTAAAGAAACCACTTGTTTCTTTCAGCAAACACACATTACTTGCAACAAGTCGCTCTCCATCTATTTACTACCATCTATACTAAAAATCTTAGTACACAAATTTTCTTGCTCAATTTTTGTTGCTGATGTATAACTTGTGATTCATTCACTATATTCCCCTTATGAAATAATTACCTTAATATACATTTTTATAAATATGAATTATGATTATAAAAATGAGTGTTATCTATTCATTAGAGTGTATCAAATATATTTGAATATTCTTTCAGATTTTTCTATGCTACAAATTCCTTTGGTCAAAATCAAGTCAGTTTATTGCTTGATACTTGCCATCAACTCTTCCTTGCCCCTCAGAAAGCAAGACAGATTTGTGCAAACATCAAAACAGCAGCAAAGAAAATAAGAAATATCAACAAGAAAGCAAGCAGGTAAGCTAGGAGAAGCAGCCAAAAACTATAAGAAAGATATAATTATGAACTACCTAGCAGTTTTCCCATTTATGGTTCATGGGCTGTTTGAAGCATAAAACTGTGAAGGTGCCAGGAAACCAGAAAAATTATTATATTATCTTTTCCCGATAGCCTGAAGTTATTGTCAGAAGAACGGGAATAATATGATACACATTCTTTTATAATTATAAATAAAATGTTTCAGAACAAGAATAGTAGACTTTAACTCTTCTCAAATAGTATCAGTATTACAACACAAAAGGAATATTGTTCTATTTATATTCTAAAAAGCAAGATAATTCTTCCTTAAGGGAATATTGCCATTTATAAAAGAGTATTTACTGATCTTCTTTACAGGATATTTTCTGAATTTTTATCTACTCTCTTGTTCATCTTTATAAAAGTCATCTGTTCCTGATTAGATATTTCAACTTTAGAAAGAACTCCTGGTCCCACAAATTTGCCTTTTGGATCCTCAAAAGAATAAATAGCAAAAGGATTTGAACAAGTGTTGTATCTGAATTTGATATATATGCTCTATTTTAGTTAAAAGATAAAGACCTGTCCAAGTACTAACCAGATCCAACTCGGATCAGTATTGGAAGATTAGATAATATCAGCTACCATCTAAATTCTAATAAATCATAATTTAACTCTTTATATCTGATAGTTTGACAAAAAAAATGAACTATGAATTATCCAAGGATACAGTTAATTATAAATCAATTTAATATACCAATATGATGATTTTAGGATCAAATCAAATTATGCAAAATATTATTACCATATTTTTGTTCTGTTTAAAAATCTATTTTTGTTTCTGTTATTTTTCAACAATATGTCTTTTCCAAAACAATGGTGGAAAAAAAGTTCACTGCAACATTTTCCCAAATTTTTATTGGTATTAATATTTGTTTTACAAGGATCATGAACACTTCAGCATGTAAATCATAAAATATATTTCATTCCAAGTTGGACCAATAACCCTCAGCTTAGCTTGACAACAGATGATTAAAAGCTCTATGTTCTAAACTCTATAATGCCTTTTTTATTCACATGTATAACTTATGCATTCAAAGTATTATGTAAAATGTTTCCTGAATTATGAAAATGTATTTAACAAGATATGCATACTCACTATATTGCGAATAGTTGCTAAAAATTTGCCATACTAAAAGTACTCTCATATTCCAGAGCTTTGGGAGGAGCTACAAAATTCAAATAATGAATAAAGTAAATATGGCTACAAAAATCTTTCAATATCATTTCCACATTTCTTTTTTTAGCCATTTTAGTATTGGAAAGATTTATAGTCAGACAAACTTTTACCAGCTCTATTTTACCCTTGGGGTAGAAGCACTCAAAAGATGTTTATTGTAAAAGTACTACAATAAGGTATGTTTCTAAAAAATACAATTACATTGTTAGACATAACCACTAAGTAATTTATACAAAACCTGACTAAGAAAAAAGTCCTAAAAACCAAAAAGGAGCTGAACGCATTTTTTAAGGGAATTCATTCCACACAGTATCCAATGTTAATGTCTAGAAAAGTAAAACTCAACTTTTTTTAAAGAAATAAATAAGTTGGTCACTCAATTGAGAAAAAAAGGGTCCTATATTACTTTTCTCAGATTCCTAGATTCTGTCCTGGACTTTTAAAACTGTTCATACGAAGGATACTTAATAAGTCTAACTTAACTGATAAAATAGAAGGAAGTAATCAAACATACACCTGCCATTTTTTCCTGTCTATTCAAATCTTGCCTTAAATAAAACATCTAACTTAACATTAACCAATATTTTTGGTACATTTTGGCTTTACTATAATCAATTCAGATAAAAACACATGGCCAATTGAGTTCCTAGTATAATAAACAAAAGTTCTTTGTATTATTTCAATTTTTTAAAAGAACAATATTATCTTTTAAATAGATAATTAAATTTAAAATAAATCTTTGCAATTTCATTTACAGTACATGTATTTGTTACTATAGTAACTTTAGATGTTCATTTTAAAAATAAACTACAATCCAGGATTTAATGTCCTAATACCAAATATGGCATTCATTATACTACATAAAACAGATAATCTAGTAACATAAAATTATAACACATGTTCAGGTGGTCCTCGCTTTAATGCTCACTAATTCAGAAACCATTCAAAGTTATGGTGGCAGTGAACAAGGGGTACCTCCAACCAGTCTGTGTACTCCTGATTGCTAGTGTCCCTGTCGTCATATGATTATGATCCTGGCTCTAAGCACCTGTCTTGCAATTACAGATAGTCCTCAACTTACGACAATTGAGCCCAAAATTTCTGTTGCTAAGTGAAATATTTATTAAGTGAATTTTGCCTTATTTTACGACTTTTCTCGTCACAGTTGTTAAGTGAATCATTGCAGGTGTTAAGTTAGTAATACAGTTTGTTAAGTGAATCTGGCTTCCCCATCGATTTTGGTTGTCAGACGGTCATAAAAGGTGATCACGTGACCTTGGGACAAGGCAACAGTCTTAAATGAATCAGTTGCCAAGCATCCAAATTTTGAAAACAGTCAGTCACTTTTTTCAGTGCTGTTGTAACTTTGAACAGTCATTGTTAAGTCAAGATCTACCTGTATGATGTTGCAGCATCCCATAGTTACATGACTGCCATTTGCAACCTTCTTTGCCTGCTTCCCACAAGCAAGTCAATGGCAGGAGACTGCAAATGGCAATGTCCTTGCTTAATGACCCATGGTGATTGCATGACACCACATGACATTGTGCTTTACAACTATATCACTTAGCAATGGAAATTCGGGTCCAAATTGCCAATGTTATGTGAGGACTAGCCATAAGTAACTATTTTCCTTTCCAAATTCTTAAACTAGAGTTGATATCCTCATTTATACAATGAACAATAACTGCGGCAAAGGGGGAAAAGGGACTCCCTGAAAAACTGGAATCAGCCAACTATCAGAATGCATGTTTCTAAACTTGATGGCCTAATAATATGTCTCATATTACATTCCTCTTTGTGGACTGATGACTATAAAGATGGTCCTTGAGACCATACTAAACCTAAGAGTCATTTCTCAGAAGAATTAAATTAAAACTCAATTTCTTTTGGCAGTTCAGTATGGCTTCACTGAAAAACAGAGAAATACCTTATTTAGTCTACAACTCTGTGGTGTCATTGAGAAAATGATCAATGATATGTAGTGTGTACAATCCCACTGGCTAAAAAGCAATGCTGTCCTTCCTTCTCATACCTTCCTATATAACCATGTCAAATGCAGAATGAAGTATGCTTTAGTTTGCAAACATCTGAGCACTTTTCTCACATTGCAATCATAATGCAAGAAAACCTGATAGTCCAAAAAGAATAAACAATCCAGAACAGTGGTTTGGAAAGCTATTCTTAAAGCTAACAAGAATGAAACTGAACAAGACCGAAGTGAGTTGGAACTCAAGCAATTACTTCAAAAAAGTAATTTGTAAAAATGTATTTATTAACAAATATTAAGTAGGAACAAATATCGCGAGTATCAGTTCTAGTTTTTCTTACTACATAAATATCAAATATTTGTGCAGCTATTTAATACAACTTTTATAAAAGCAAAAAGCAAAATTAGCATTTTTATAGCTTACTGTATTTAGGAGAAATTTCAACTAATTTTCAAGATAAAGCCCAAAATTTTGAAACAATCATATAGTCCTGTAATGGCACTCTGTTATTCTATTAGATTGAAAACCTCTCAGTGTTTAAACATTTTTTTAACAATGTTTTAACTGTAACTAATGATATGTTGAGTTTTAAATCAAAAGCCTATGCAATTAACATTTTTATATAAAATTTCAACTCATATTAAAACTCTTATTCAAAAAAACTAAATCTAAGGGTACTAAGATTTTATCCTACATCCTACATAAAGAAAATTTTAAGTTCAGCCTAAAGAGCCACTGATTTACTAAATGATTCTAAACTGATTTATTAAATGATTCTAAACTAAGTTATTTGAAGCTAACAGTTTTTCATGTATATAGAGATAAAAGAATAATATAAGCTTCTCCACAAAATGTTATTCATACAATATAATGCTCGCTTCTTTCATTGGAGCATGGTCAGAAGCATATAAAATCAACTACATGCCTAAAGATTAACTGCAATGGGAATTCATGACTTTCTCCTATGGTAAGATTCAACTGTTGCTTACAGTGAAATATAGAAAATTTACATATTAGAATTGCTTCTGAGAATAAGCAACCATAAAGGAAAGTAAGCCTACTACATTTCACTATAAGACATACAAGACCCTACTGCATTGCAATGGTCAAATATATTATTATATACTGAAGTCAAAAAGCACCAGAAAAAAAGTTATTGTAACAGTGCTTAACGACACTGAATGCAATGATTTATCATCTTTCCATTTTACAGATACAGGAATCATTCATCCCACTATCACTTACATATTTAAACTGTTTTATATGTTATTCTATCCGATATAACTTCTAAATATAGATCCCAAAGTTTAAAAAAAAATCAAGGATTCAAATACTAATTTAGAATGGTCTCTACACATAGTATATGACCTCACTCTTCTGAAAACATATGGGATAATATGGTAAAATAGCATGAAGTATCTATACAAGTGAAAAAAATGTACAAGTCACAATAAACTGAGATACAGAGTTATCATTTAACCACATTTCATGTTCACTTGGAATTTCTGCAATGCATGTTATTCTTGTATCTTTTGGGTTCCTTCATGAAATCTTATTCAAGGCTTCTCCAAGTTTCTCCGTGGCTTCTCTGTATGCCTATCATTTTTAGTATCTTGGATAACCTATTTTGCCCCTTTTGTTTTGCTGTGTAATAAAACAACAAGGCCTGTGTTATGTTTCTAAAAGTGCTGGTTGCATATTATCAAAAATATAAGCAGCATCTCAACATTTTGAACAGGATAAATTAAAACAGAAATCCTAGGATATTTTTCATTCACTATAATGTATCTTTAGAAGACTAGCTAAAAGCTTTCATTTAAAGAAAAACAGAAAATCCTTCGTTTAAGTTAGGATTTTCTAAAATGTATCTTGAAAAAACATTGTACTAGCCTAAAGTCCAAAGGTTATACTCAATGCACATGGAAGTTTCTGTTACAGAAACTTTCCTGACCTCCAAGAATCTGTGCTTCCAGAGAAGGAGGAATCTGTGCTTCCAGAGAAGAATCTTCTGAGGATCAGAAAATACTTTGGAAAGAACTGGGATACAGGGAAGCAGGAAAAACTGGATGGAATAACTTCAGGCTACTGAGACTATTCCCCCCTCCCTCCCCCGAGATGTAAAAACAAATATATATCACCCTAAACTTGAAAACAGTAACACTAATAGTGTAAATGCACCTATATTGTTGGAAATTATTGGTTATGTCGTCTAAAGAGAGCCTGCTGTAGAAATTTAGTTGTGACGATTTATCTTCATAGTTACAGATGAACTAGCCATAGAAAGGCGGATACATTCAAAATAATAATTGCGTCTGGGAAAAGTGAACTACTGGTTTCTCTGTCAAGATCCTTGGTGAGACACTTGTGCAGGCATATAAAACTTGTAGGGTGATAGTTATTTTTTGTATTCATTTCAAAACAACTGGGACATTCTAAAATGAAGCACATAATTTCTAGGTCATGATAAAAAACTGAAACCTCATTTACTGTGAATAACAGAATGCTACAGAACATAGTTTTACCGTAAAAAGCAAAACAATATTTTACAAATCCAAGTGAAAAGAACTTGTAGAAATACTACTCCAATCAGTAGTCATAACATATTCTTATTTTGTCTTCATACTTCAGCAAACATGCTTCTAAAAAGTAACGATAAAAAGCACAAACTCTTGACTGTAATGGTACAATCTAACTGAAGATTTTACAATAGTGTTACATAAAAATAAATGTGGAAATTACCTGTTTATATTCACTAACACAGCTTTGGCAACAGAATCTTTTCGGCTCTCCATCAACCATAAGAATATTGTTTGCTGCACCTTTACTTGGAAGGTATTCTCCACATTGCTCACAACAATTCATGATTAAACCATTTGCCATTCGGTATCGATTGAAGCAGTGATCACTACACAACTTATGAGTCATGTTTTTAAAGCTAACTTCATGGCGTATCTAAAAGCAAAAATTTAATTTTATATGAAGATCTAGATTTATTTTAATTATGAATTTCAAGCACATCTTTAGGCTGTTTAAGCAACCTTGAAATCTGCCATTTCAGAAATAGAAGCTTGCACTAGCACTTAAAATACAGATGTTAAGCACTTTAACTGTATAGAAAATACATCATATAACAACTTAGAAAAATTCCTTATGTTAAAAAGGAGGTAGCACAGAATTCTAGCATTGTTATAAAGATTATAATGATGACAAAGGACATGCTGCTTTATCATTACTATATTCAGTCACTAAAGAAATTTAATAGACCTGTAATTATTGGTTTAAAAAATATAAGTCATGATAATGCATTTTATAAGGTACATAAAATTCAGTCACTAAAGAAATTTAACAGACCTGTAATTATTGGTTTAAAAAATATGTCATGATAATGCATTTTATAAGGTACATAAAATTACATAAAATTTATTAATGTTCACAGATGTTACACAAAAGTGAATTCTTTAAAACAAACGAACAGAAATATAATAATGCCCTTAAATTTAAACGTTCAAACATAAAGCTAATTTGCTCTTTCTCAACCCCTGCTTGTCCCAATAGTCCTACTCCATTAACAGTTTAGTTCAGGGGTGTCAAACTCAATTTCACTGAGGACCACATCAGCATTGCGGTTGCCCTTGGGGAGGCCGGGTGGGTGTGGCAAGAGTGGGTGCAGCCTACTGGGTGGGTGTGGATGGAGTGGGTGTGGTCTACTGGGTGGGCGTGGCCAGTTCTACATCATTCTCATCAAGGGTGCCTGTGGGGGCCTGGGCAGGTGTGGGACAGATCTGAGGGTCTCTGGCAGAAGTGAGTGGGACCGGGGCAAGTGCCAAGGCATGGTCCACCGGGGCAAGTGCCAAGATGGCCACCACAAAATTGTACATTGGCTCCCGGCTGGCCTGGGCCAGGGCCAAGGCAGCGGGGGCCATTCCCTCACTGTTTCCAGGATGGCTTCGCGGGCCACATGAAACCACTTCGAGGGCTGCATCCGGCCCCCAGGCCTTGTGTTTGACATGTCTGGTTTAGTTTCTTTGGACAGAAGGCAATTAGCACAGCTTTGGTATACAACTGATTTTCCTCCCTCTGAAAAATAAGTCTATGCATTCTTGCAAAGATATAGAACAGTGCGTACTGCATGCTCAAATATTCCAATTAAGAAATATTTAAACATTATTTTTTTAAAAAAAAAATCTGAAGGGGAAAGTGTTCACAGGAGATTTTCCAAAGGCCAAGATGGTGCTTTACTCATTCAACTATAGAAGTTTTATGTCTTCTACTATGAGTTAGTATTTGTCAAGAGATGAAACGTGACACATCAAATAACTCACAGTTAATAGGGAGCCTTAACTAAATAATCCACTCGTTTTTCTTTAAACAACGATATAATGGTATCGATAGTTTCTTAAGTAACTCAAATAAAATGGATTTTAGGAATAAATTCAGTGAAAAATAGCAAACAAACCTCAGTTAGTTTACCACAGATAGTGCATCTTGACTTATTTAAGATTCCTTTTGAGGGATTCTGTTTGTCTTCATAGAAAGACAGACATGATGTACTGCAAAACTCCTGGAAAGATTCACTTGAATCAACCTGAGCAACAATGGTGCCTTTCATTGTTGTTATGTCTCTGAAAAACAAAATCATTCTGTCTCAGTACTTTAGCGACCACTGTATATTCTTTATTCTCAGAAGTTACAGCTCTTTAAAAAAGATCCTCCCTATCCTATCTTTATGAATTTAATACTCATTTTCACCAGAAAATAGTGTAACTTTTTAAAAAGAGTCCATTTCTATTTTTAATGAAAAAGCAATTATGCTACAAAATAGTGACAGAGGAAAACAAATATAATTGGTCAAACAAAGATTAAGTAATTTCTATCATCCTGCTTTTATGAAGCTTTTAGCAGGTTTATCTTTTTGTACTGATGTAACAAGACATAAACCTTCTTCTAACCCCTATTTATCCCCTTTTATGCTATTAATCATGTTTTTATACATGTATATACTAGAAGGATTGACTTGTCAGTGAGACAGAAAGTATCACAGTTACCAACTATTGAAGGCAATTCTTGATTACGACTGACATCAAGAAAGATGGAAATATTGCTTTTGAGATAGAGACAATGGAAAAGGAATGTGTTCTTTCAGCCAGTTTTTCATTTCACAATGTTTTACAAGTAATATTATGTTTATTACCTTAAACTAGTAATCAGAAAACAATAATGGAAGGAGATAAATTAAGAGATAAAAATTGTGACCTAAGAAATGTCACTACCAACAAAATTATGCTTTATGCTTTTCCTATTTATTGCTGACAAACACCAACAGTTAAAAGACCTTGCTTTTCTATTTACATGTATTAAATAGATTCAGGCTTATATGAAGCCCAACTTTCTATAACCATTTAGTCATTTTTTTAAAAAAAATCTGAATGCATCAGAATGGATATACTTATTACAACAAAGCAGTTTTAAATAAGATAATCTAATATATCACTTATTGATATGGGTAGCTATAGAAATAAAATAAAATAAAATAAGTAACTGGTAATATGACTATTTACTAGTTTATTGTAGACATTATCACAGAAAATCTGGGTTACTTCAATTATTATGCAAACCAATTTCCATTTATAAAATGTTACTTTTTTCTTTCTTTCTGTTTGTTTGTTTGTTTATTTATGGCACTTTTGGCATGCACCTATCAATTAAAACCATGCTTATGTCTACATTCACTATTGATTAATTTTAATTCCCACCAAATGTCAGACCAGAGAATAGCAATTACAGTAAATTATTACTAGCCATTCACAAACTTAACTAAGCCTGCTCTTCTTAATGATTCTCAATCTTTGCCCAGAACTATATATATAAACAAACAACTGATAAAAGAACATAAAAAAAATATCTCACTTGTCTCTTAAATAATAAAATGGATTTCACAAAGTTATTGAAACAATTAACAGGACTATAGTTTTAACAAATGTGATCAAGAAATAAGAAAAATCCTTACTTTTTGCACATAACACAGAGTTTCTTTGGAGCTGGTTTATGTGAAAATGATGAAAGGCAAGTAGTAGAACAAAATAGATGAACAGATCCTTTCCGCTGATATGCCGTCTGGCCCTTCTGCAAAGGCTTTTTGCAGTTAGCACATGTAACTTTAACCTGCTTTGAAGGTTGCTGTTGTGCAGGTGGTTGGAAGACTTGTTTGGGAAGAGATGCCACAGGAGACAGGGAATCTACACCTGGTTGCTTCTGATTCCTTGGAAATGAAGCTGACTGAGATATCCAGGAATCTTAAAAATACAAAATAAAGAAACTTGGAATTAAGTAAACAGCTTTAGGGAGTTTACAACGGCAATAGGGTGGCATTAATCTGACACTTAAGCACAGTATTGCATTGCTAGTGCAGGTAAAAACAGCAGAGATTGTTCAACTGTTGCTAACATGCAGTGAATTGAACTGCAATAATTTCTACATAGCCCAATTTTTTTAAAAAATAAAAATACTTAAGAGTCATAGAAATAGCAATAGAAGATTATAAACCAGGATAACTTTGAGCATATGACTATTTAAATCAACATTTTAAAAACTTTTAAAATATGAATTGTTCCTATGTAAGATTCTTGTCCAAAGTTTCTTGAATTTAACATGCTACTACAAAGCAAGTTAAATAATGAGGCTACTCTTGACAATGGCCAGAGAAAATAAAGACAACATGGAACTGATTTATTAGTCATGTAAAACAATCAGTCATGTAAAACAAACATCCTCCAAACCTTGGTTTAAGAAAAAAAAAGGAGAAAAGTTTACATTTTAATTTCAATTATTAAAATAAGAACAAAAAGTTTCAAGTTTGTCTACTTCCCTAATTTGTTATTAAATCTTACAAAGCTGTATAGGAATTATTCAGTACAGGTAATTCTCCACTTATGAACATTTGCTTAGCGAAGGTTCAAAATTATGACATCCGCACCACAAAGTAGTTATGAATGGGTCGCAAAGTTACATATGTTGCAACATTACAGTGGCCATTCTCACTTACAAATGACCACAGAGACACTGCAACATGCTACTTTGGTGCCATGCCTGAATCCTGAACTGCCCACGCTCGCCTCCTATGCAGCCTTGGGTACCGGAGCGCTTGTCCAGCCAGGCAGAAAAGCGCCAAGCCAGCCTCTCTCTGCCGAGCCCCAGCCTCTCTCACAAGCGGGCGCGGCCCTGCCCCTCACTTGCTGGAGTGCCGAACCTGCCCGGATTTTACAAATTGCACTGTTGCAAACCTGGAAAGCTTGGCATGCCACCACTCTTGATCCCCTCGCTTCCCAAAAGCATTTCTTTGCTAAATTGCAAGAGGGGCTCCTAAACAAACCTGTGTCACATTTCTCTGCCACCGCGTACAGGGAAACAGAAGTTCCTGGGATTAAAAAAAAAAAGTTCAGACATTCTAACTTCTTGCAAAGAAAAATAAGATCTCACGAAGTTGGAAGGTCTGACTGAACTTTTTTTTTTAGTCCCACAAACTTTTGTTTCCCTGCACGCTGTGGTGGAGAAACGCAATGGAGCTGGAAAGGTTTGTTTAGGAGGCGCTCTTGCAATTTAGCGAAGAAATGCTTTTGGGAAGTGAGGGGAGCAGGGTGGTGGCATGCCAAGCTCTCCAGTTCCACGGCAGTGCAATTTGTGAAACCCGGGTGGTTCGGCACTCCAGCAAGTGGCAGGGCAGGGCTGCGTCCGCTTGTGAGAGAGGCTAGGGCTTGGCGGGGACCAAGGGCTCTGGCACTCAACGCCATGCAGGAAGTGAACGTGGAAAGTGTAGGGCTCTCAAACATTGTGCCAAAGGTAAATTAGCAGTCGGTGAAGGCCCAAGCAGCTTGGGACCCCAAGGGGTGGAAAGAGGAGCATGGGGTCTCTCAATGGGTGGGGGGAGGCGTTTGGTGGCTGGATGCAGTGGTCTTGTCCCTCCACTAGGCCTTCCCTACTCTGAGATACCTCATGTGCACTTAATGACCCGCGCATTCGATTAGCAAATGCATGAGCCAAAGCAGGGAGTGATCGTGTTCAAGTTACACCATTCACTCTTATGAATTCTCAGGTTACAAATGTAATTGACAGGCTCCATTACATTCGTAACTCAAGGACTACCCATATCTGAAAAGCATCTCATACTGTTTACATTCTGTGTCTGTATTATATAGAAGTAATGAATACTTACCTTGAGTAGTAGCAGAGGATTTTAAACTACTGTACAAATTAAATTATTGTTACTTTTATTTTAACTTGAGCATACTTTCTATGATTCCGTGTTAGCTACCCGCTTTTGGCAATACCTTTTGACTTGAAGTACATGTTTTTATATCTCTGCAACGTTCAGGTGTAATATATAATTTCATTCTCATTTATGTGACTTGATAATTGTGTCCCATCAATTTTGAGTTTAGATATTTATAGGCAGGTAACACAGTATTGTTATTGCCATTGAAATGGTACATTAAAAAAATCTTGATTTTCTTGGGGTGTTTTATTGTTGATATATATATATATACACTGTGTATGCTCTCACATTAATATTATTTATACAGTTAAGAAAACATCAATACCTCCCTTTTTATTTTTAGTAACTATCAGCTATCATTATATGGAAGCAAAAATATCAGGAAAATAGAAATAATTGCTTTTCTTGGGCTTCTCTCTAATAGGTAGCGAAGCAGCAACAAGAAAACAAAAAATGCAATACCTATAGCAAGTTAAACTTAAATGTTTTAACTGTTTTCTTTAGCCTATATACTCATTTTTCAAAGTGAGATGTATGGCATATAAATTTAATAAATAAATATACCCAAAGAACATAGGTATAACAAATGTAAAATAATTTAAAAGACCTCTCTCTTTTCTTTTGGTTGAAAACTGTGTGTAAATAACTTTTTGAATAACAGTTCATGATGACAAACTTATTTTTTCTTATAGAATTTATTGTAATGTTCCAAAAATATTTTACAATCATATCAATGACTTTTTTTTTTTTTACAATCTGGTTAATAGGCAGCACTTATACATATATATAACTTTGCCTGGCTGAGATTAGAAACTATTGAATGGAAACTGATCTGAAGTTCTCACTGACGGCCAGGAGACTCAAAACATTTCCAGCTGTGTTCTGACAGAGCATTTGAGCTGTTCTGAGTTTTGTTCCAACAGAACACAACCAACTTGAAATATTTGGGCAAAACATTTCGATTTGTGCAGTTTTGTTGTATGAGCTAGATAGAACACACTGTCTATTTGATACCTACCCCCTATATTAACAATATCCACACCTCCAATCTCTAGCTTTCACAGTTATTTTTATCTTCTATTAAAAATCATTGCTTGGGCAGCATTTTCTGCCATTGGTTACATTCCAGTAATTTTGGTTCTGGTATCACAATTCAGTATTGCACTTTCTTGTATAACAATTGATAATGCAGTCAAATTCTTTTTGTGTGGCAAAAATACAGTTGTATTTTCATCTTTTTAACTTCTAATAGTGATCAACTTAGTAACATCCTCAAATCTTCAGTGATGTTTTCACAAATTATTTTGCAATATTTGCAAAGTCATGAAACAATCATGCAAAAAATAATGCAGGTATCATATACCTGTCCTGAAGAATGTTATTTAAAAAGTAGTGATGCTCATGAAACACTGGAAAGTTTCACGTGAATGCGCTGAAAAAAATAATACAGGTGTGAAAACCATTTTTCCCTTGTGGTTTCAGGTATCTGAAGTTGATAACTATAGTCATGAACTCATTAGGCAAAATAAATGGCATCACATATCTACAATTTTTGGCACACCGTCCTGAAGTCTGTTTTGTGCACATGCAAAACTTAACATCCAGTCTTTATTCCCAATAATTCCTGGCAGCTTTACTATTCTGTACTTATAATTCTTTCTTCAGGCTTACTTCCATCATACTGAAAATCAGGAAGCACGCCAACAGAGGAAAGTGGAAAATGTTTCCTCAAAGCTGAGAATATATTCTCAACCTCTGATAGAGAGCAGCATCAAGCTCAAAAACTAGCTGGAACCTTCATTGCCACCCTGTAAGTATACCTATTAGGGTGTGCAAAGCAACACTAAGCAAAGCACTACCAATACCTACTTTGAGAATGTAGCTACGACTACTATAGATGCAGAGTCATCAAAACATGACACTGATATTTCCATAACATTGAGGAGAAGTGCTCCAATGCTTTATTTTTATTTTTAATTCTGGTAAAGATCCATTTTCCTTCTTTATCATTGTATTTTTTTTTGTTCTTTTGAGACAAGTGCCATGTTTTCTGAGGTTTCACAATCTGTAGTTGCATGGTATGGATTCTAATCTTGCTGTATAAAAACAGGCCTGATATTAGCCCCAGGTATGAGAGAATGCTAACAGATAACAATAATGGTAGCTTATGATACAGAGCAGGGAAATCCTTATCAATGGGCTGGCTGTGATTCAATGTATTTCAGAAAAGATCGAATACATGACAGGCATTTTATTTAACATTTGACTATATCAAAATATATGTAGCTCTCACAAAGGAATGTAGAAATCGTCAGGAAGCACATCAAAATCCAATAGTTATAAGCAGTTCAGTACTCAAAATTCAGCCATTAGTGAACAAAATTACTAATTAAATATTGAGTCATTGATATGCTTAGTACACGGATGTAAGAAATGTTTTTAGTTACCTTTCTTAAGCCTACATTCTTTTTTCAAGAACCACTGGTTTCCTTACAAACCTTTTTAAACCATCAAAATTAAAACTTCTATTCTAGCTGTTACATATCTGATTAACAATGAAATTTAATGCAAATATTTTCAATTGTATACTTGTCATCTCAAAATGAAGCTATAGATGTCAGATAAATGGCATAAAAGCTTGCATTATAAATAGGCTTTATTTTAACAAAATAAAATATCTGGAATTAGCCCAATCCCCCCAAATTTGAACTGGTAATACTGGTATTTCAAAGGGTCTTAAAGATCTGGCTCTTCAGGCCTTAGGAGGGAAAGGCTCTTCCTCCTTTCTGTTTCTTGCCAGTTTGTTTTGTTTGCCATCATTATTCTTGCTTGTTTTTGTTCTTTGTTTTTAAATGTTTTATCTATAAATTACCCAGTCATCAGAAGGAGCAGCATATAAGTTTAAGAGTATTATTAAAAACTATATTTTTGTTATAAATCATAAGAAATGTTATTAAACAGTGGCTTATAAATTCTCTTAAAGTACAACTCAAAAGTAAAACCACAAAGTACCACAATTCACTGCACAGTAATTCAATGGTGATTAATTTGACTGAACACATTCCTTAGTTCCCACTGCTCAATCCTATTGTATGTAACTGTTAGCTATTGGAGCTCAGCAAACCTGTGATGTTCAGCTACCGTTGAATCAATTTTTCTGTCTCTCTCAAGCTTACTTTTAGAAAAGAGTTTAAATGGTTTTGTTTTACAACTGAGACCCATCTAATTATTTTCCTTAGATTCTATACTAAATTACTTTTCTTTTAATTTCCTACCTTCATTTTCTGCATAATGTAGGCATTCTCTAACTACATCCTCATGGTTGCCTTATTATGAAGGAATCCACAATACTCAAGATATTTAATTTACTTACCAGCCCCCAGAGGTAGGAATTTTTTTTAAAGGCCCCAAGGTTCCAGATAATTGTACTCAATACATTTTAATTGCTTAAAGCACTCTTTTATTATAAAAATGTGATTTACATTCATCTTTCAAGCAATATACAATTTTATGAAACTGCACCAAAAGAACTTAGAATATAATTGGCTTTATGAGACTTTGCAAGTCTTAGGATTAAAAAAATACATAAATACAACCTACCTGGATTATGATGAGTTGCAGATTCTCCATTCTGAAAGACATCACCAGCTACGTTCATTCTACCAGGATTGAAAGGTCCTACACCAGTCTTGGTCTGTGAAGTTAAAGATGGGGTGTATGTTTGTATATTAACACCAAAATTACTTGACTGCAGTCCGTTAGATACATCTCCCAAGTTGGTATTCTGTAGTGATGTTACATGTGTTATCATTAAGTTCATGTCACGCCCTTCAGTATTTTCTAAACGGCCAACACTCACAGAGCTCATACCTCTTTCTAATGTAGTAACATTAGCTATTTGAATTTCAGAGTCTGGTTCTGTGGTTATACCACTATTACCTATTCCTGCATTTACCTTACTTCTTGAAAAACTGGATGTTGAGAATTCCATTTCATTGGTTCTGTTTTTACCCTCTGGAAATCTTCTTTCACTGAAACTGGAATCATTTCTCTCTTGTCCCTGATTTGTTTCAATGTCTTCTTCATCATCAATAATAATAGTCTCAGTTATACTTCCCTTCTGAGCGCTCATGTCTTTTGACGGAGCTGATATTTTAGGGTCATTTCCATGTTGCTCTTCATTACTGGATGAATTAAAAACATTTCTGTGGTCTGTTATTAATGGTGTAGAGATTTGTGGAGGCTGTACAGGTTCAACAAATACAACATCATCATCATCTTCTATGGAGGTACTCTGGAACTTAGATCTAGACACCAGAGAATTAGATGGACCTCCAAAAGAGCTTCCTACATTGGCTAGGCCAGTTGCCATTGTGATAAGCCCTTATAAACCAGACGTAGGTTCAGACAACGCCAATTTTCAGCTACCTTCTGGCCTTCCAGAAAAACTGTTACAAAAAGAGAAAGCAGTTTCACTAAAAACATCATCTGATTATATTTTAATTATTTTTTAAAGTACCATCTTTCTTTTACTAATTATTTAAATATGTTCTAAATAAAACAAAGCAAGATTTTATTGAATGACTAAGACCAGTGCTCTATCATTTCCTCTTGCAAGCAAGTTTCAATTAAAAAAGCAACTTCTGTTGTTCATTGTAACCCAGGAACCAAACTGTTTCTCTGAAACAAAGCTCAAATTGGAATCTAAGAGCCAAGAACAAACCATGACTTTTAGGACAGCAAAAGCGAATTCCTAATCCCACATTACAATCAAAGCAGATAACTAGCTTCTGTTTCTCTTAATTAAATCTGAAGTCCTAGGGCCACATGTCCATTCCCCCAATTTTGAGATGTGACACATGGAGCTTCTTCAAAAATTATCACCAAATTTTCTTATTAATGAAATGAAATAATTAAAAATACTGGAGAAGAGCCAATTTGTTCTAGTAGTTAGGACACCAGGTAGAAACCAGGAGACTTTGAGTTGTTAATCCCACCTTAGGCATTACTAAGCTGGGCAGTTGGGTGACTTTGGGACAATAGTCTCTCTCAGCTCATGCCATCAAGTTTGGGCAACAAGTTGGTCTGTCTATTCCTGCCACAACCAATGCATTATACTATGTGTGTTTAAATGTATTAAAGTGGAATGAAATCAAATTTAGGGTTTGTACGGGTCCAATCTATATTTGCCAATAAAAGGCCAAATGCAGATCTTGAATTGATAAAGGTTGGTCAATCCTTCATTCATCTATCCATCCATCCACCCACCCACCCATCCATCTACAGCTTTGAGCCAGTTTTCTTGGCAACATTTTCAAAAGTAGTTTATTACTTTTTTCTTCCAATGGCTGAGAGAATGACGAGCACTCTAAGACACTCTTTAGTGGCTTCATGCTAAGGCTTCATGCTAAGGACTAGAACACATAGTCTCCCAGTTCTAGGTCAGTAAATTTAATTGCTATTATCAAATTGGGTTCCATTAAACTACTTATAACCTAGTAAAATAATTTCTGTACAAATCGGCAATCTGGTAAGCTAACATTTTGAAAATTCTGGCTTTCTTTCACATAGATTTACCATATCTAGACAACCCAAATTTAGATGGCTACTAGATAGCAGTAAAAAAATGGAAAAAAATCTGTCTTACTCCTACAGTTATCTGTATTTTTGTAGCCCAGATACAACAGCTCCTACTTTCATGTGCAACTTAGATATAGTGCTTGAAATATAATGTAAAGACATTTTAAAGAAAAATGAAATATTACAGTTCAATTACATTTACAATTGGTAACAAGCTTGACATATTTTCCCTACCATAACTGCACAAGATTGAAAGAAACTGAAATTCTGAATAAATTACTTCTCAGTTGGGAAGTGTTTAATTCTTACTCTGGTTAGCATAAGCAACTAAGCTCTTTGGACAATTTATATAAGCTACTGTTTTCAATAAACTTTTTGTGTTCAATCTTTTTTATTACTTAATTAATTTTATATTTAATTTCCCCCATTCAATTGATTGCTTGAAGCAGTTAATATTTTAAAAAATTGTATTTCAAATCAAATACTTACTTATTCAAAAACATCAAGGAATTTGTAAAGTTAAGGTTTTCCAATGCCTTTTTGATCCTGGGAACTTTGCTCACTTCTTTAGTCAAGCTGGAAATGTTTTTTTGAAAATAAGCATCCTGAAATAGATTTAATAAATATTGAGAATGCAAACTTGCCATGAAAGGTGACAGTAAAGTAAGTCAATATTCAGCCAAAATCCTTCAAATTTAAAGGATTTTCAAATCCTTAAAAACAATTCAAAGGTTGGCTGTTGAGATGAACAATATGATCCAAGTTTACCCACAGCAGAATCTCAGCGAATGTCATAAAAATATTACATCAACATATTTCCCATTGCAAGCAACATTTCCCAAAATAGATACAGTACTATCTTACTTTAAAAAGCAGAAGTCACAGAGTCATATTTTATTTTCCTTATTTATATGTTACTGACCAAATATTTCAATGTAGTTTTTTTTTTTACTTTTGTTTGAACTAAATTTTAAAAAATGAAACTTGAAACTTCATGTTGGCCAAAATCTGCGTATGTTTGAAGATCTGGTAGCAAAACAAAAGGGACAATTTGCTCAGGCCATAAATATTGAGAAAAGAAAATGGTTCACCATCTAAATTAGCCCTGTTCAGTTTTATGCAGTATCTAAACTACTGTTAAAAATATGACAAAATTATAGTAAAATATTTTGCAGCTTACATTATGGCCTTATTTTTACTTATCCTTATTTCTCTACCACATACTGAAGTTCCACTATTCAAAATATTTCTCTATTTAAAAAACACAAAACTGTCCATCTTTAGTCTGGAGATGTTCAGTGTGCAGCAATTCCTGTACCTCAAGCACAAATGAACTATTTGAAACAGTAAAAAGTGTTTCTGCTGCTACCAGTAATATTCACTTGCCTGCCCACTTGTTCATATCCTTTCACAGCTAAACCAAGTTGCAAGATTCATGTTTATATTAAAGAAGCAACAAAGAAGATATTGTATTTTATATTGTTTGGCACCCATTACTTCTACCCTATCCCTTTTAAAACAATTCTATATCAGATTAAGTAAGCCAATGAAATTACTCTTTAGTATATTTTCTGTTCTACTATATAGAGACAAGGAATCATTGGGAGGTAGGCAGCATACAACTTTAATACATTATTATTATATTCTCTAATTTTATTTTACAATAATTGCAAAGCGACAACTTCTAATTATCCTAGTATTTAGTTTCATATATTTCAAAAAGCTTCTTCAGTAATTCATGATCAGGTTTAAAAAAAAAACCTGCAACATCCACAGGCTGAAAACATCTAATACAACAGTGTGACATTATCTGTACCAATTAATGCAGAATATTAAAACTTATTATCACAACAGAAAATGGTTGTCTTTTTCTAAGAAAAAACTACTCAAGACAATAGTATGCTTATTCCTGATTTATAAGTGAAAACCGTAAAACAAGTACTAGGTACAAGTAAAACTTCATCACTTAAAAATAACAACAGCAAAAAGAGATCAAAACTAGGGTCCTTCTTTGGAAAATGAGAGTAGAAAGACATATTCAACTGTTATGGTTATGCAAGGCCATTTTAAGAAAAGCTTTTGTATACTAGATTAAAAAAAATTTGCTTCTTCATGCAGCTTGTAAATCATCTAGAAGAAAAGACTAATATTTTTATACATATTCAACTGTTATGGTTATGCAAGGCCATTTTAAGAAAAACTTTTGTATGCTAGATTTAAAAATGTTTGCTTCTTCCTGCAGCTTGTAAATCATCTAGAAGAAAAGGCTAATATTTTTATACATTTAAGATTATTCTGCAACCTTCTTTTTTCTTAAATGTTCATGGCAATATAAAGTATTCCATTCTCCAATGCTATCCCCACAACAACCCTGTGAGCAATGACCTATGCAAATTAACTATGAGGTTTTGTGGCTTAGTATAGCCTTAAACCTAGATTTTTCTAGCTCAACACATTAACCACTGGGTCACGAGCTGTTAATTATGTTCGCAGCAGCTTTTGTGTTAAAACTCAAGCTGCCAAAGTTTAATACAAAGATCTAACTAATTGTCATAATGTATGAAGTTTACTTATAAATATTTCAGCATGAGCATGAACTATAACAAAATAGTAACATGCCAAATACTTTCATATTTATCTGCTTTAATTATGAATAATAGATTTCATTAATTTAGTGGATTTCTTAAGATATTCATGCAACCAGTTGATATTGCCATATAAATTAAATACTTATTATCATAATAGTCCTTTCTTTTAGTTTCTTATGAAACTTAATAGGTTATTCAAAAAGTTAGACAGTAGCCAAATTAAGGAAGAAACAAGAATTCCATAGTACTAATATGCATATTCTAATAGCTTAACTAATAAGACACTGAAAAAAGTTATGACAACCTGGAGCATAGCATTTAATGGAATTAAAACACATGCTCCTGGTTGTACTAACTTCTCAGTATACATATATTTCTCAGCTATACAGAGCATGTTCACTGATAGAGTCAATGTCATCTTGATGGAAGATGGAAACAGCAAAAATATTTGGAATGGTGAATACACAGGATATCCTATATAAATCTAAAAAACAGCAACTTTGTGTCTAGGCTACTTTGCTACTATCCTACCTATAAAACATGAAACAAGTGATAATTCCCTACACATATCTGAAGATTCATGTATAATAGAACTGGGAACATGGGATATTTCAAATCCCAAATGGGCTATCTTCCACTCATCAGAAAGGAGTGACAGCAGCACTATCAGTTAAAAAAGCATCCTTAACTCATTCTTACACAAAAGGCAAATACCACAAATGCACATATTTTGCCAAGCTACTTTAAACACATGAGCCATTATAGTTAACAAATTATGTGATACATAATCAAGTTAATAAGCTATCATGTGATTGTGCTAACCCTAAAAAATGAATTTTATTTGTATGCTTATGAGTGTGTGAACATATACCTGCCTCCCATATTTTACATATAAGATCATTTATGTTAGTGCCCATAACATATTTATACACACAATTGTGTTTTTGTTTACTTTGGAAGACTGGCAAAAAATGGTTTAAGGCATCTCTCAACTTTAAGGCTTTCCATTTACTTAACTTTATTTTTATACTCCTTCAGCCTCATGATTTTTGGTGGTATACAAAAACTTTTTTAAAAATAATTTTATTAAACATTGTAATAGGACAGATAAAAATACAAACTAAAAAAATGTAAAGTACAAAAAAGAAATACTAAGTAAAACAAAAATGACAGAAAAATTAAGGCAATAGTAAATAAAAGTATATAAAGAAATGTGTTCCCCTTCATCACTAGTATAATTTTAATAACTCATCACCTTCTGTTAAAATACAATTAGTCTCTTCTTTCCATATATCTCTTATCTAAAAACAACTCCTTAAAAATCTTGTCATTCAATTCTGATCAGCCAAAATCCATTAAACATTACCTGAAATACTTTATTTGATCAAATAAACCAACTTTATGTTCTTCATTTTACTTTTTACAATTTTGATCTTTAATCTTCAATCTTCAATGTCCTTCATTTTTTATTTTTTTCTCACAAATTCTTCAAAAACTTTAATGAATATCTTTTGTAAATTCAATTTAGAAAACTTACCCAGATCACTCTTTTGGTTTGTTAGTTCTATATTCCTTTTATTTTAATTATTAAGATATCAGCTAGTATCTTTTCTATGCCCAGTGTAGAATTTTTTTCCATGTCACCATAACCTCTCATTTTAAAATTCCCTTCCAATCAGGGAATCTTGTTTGGTAAAACTTGTTCCATAAAGTCCTTTAAAAACAGTCTCTAATGGCAGACATTCTTAAAATTAATTTCTGGATCCATTGCTAACAAATATTCTTCAATACATCCAATACTGAAATATTTTGCTCCATTCTGAATTAGTAAATGAAATTTAAAGTATTCCTCCTTTAATTGTAATCTTTAGTATCTTCAGGTTCCCTCCAAACATCATTTTCCTACATGAAGGATTCTTATAATTAATTTCAAAATCAATTTTCCAATCACATTTTTGCTGTTTATTCTAAAGAAGATTTTTAAAATCCTTAATGATTGAAGGAAATTCACTGATGCTATAAAACATATTGTTCCAAAGATTCCACAGTTTTTGGCTGAAAAGCAGTTAACAAGCAATTTCTAAAAGTGATTAGGAAAAGAAGTATGCAAATTCTGATCCCATAGTTTGGAATTAGATGGCCTTCGCTCATCTCCCTTAGCTCTAAATCAGCCATAGACTGCTTTCTTGGTATCCTCATGAAGATAAACTGTCTGGAGCATTTTTGGATGATCCAATCTTCTCCTTGCCCAGAGAGGAATCACAAAAAGTCACTGGATCTTCATTCCACTTGCTATTTCCCTTTTTCATTAGCCTCAACTGCACTGAATACTCCATAAAAAGTTTGGTTTTTAGAAGTTTCCTAAAAGCCAGAAGGGCCCAAATGTAGTTCTGTGGCAAGATGTACAGCTGGGCTGCAACCAAAAAGGCGTTATCCTCAGCGAGTCCTCTTCATTATTTCACTAGCTGGGCCGACTCCTTTTGGAAAAGGCAGCACCTAAGGTAAGCCAATGCTCTGCTACATAAGTGCTTTAAACTAGCACTGTGAAACAGACCTGGAAGCCTGAAAGCAGTCAGTGCAGCAACCATAATATAGATGTTATTTTGCAAAGGCAGGCTCTAACTTCCAGCAGTCTGGCTACTGTGTTCCATTCCAGTTATAGCTTCCAAGTCAACTTCAAAAGTAAAGTGAGTTGCAGCAGTCCAATCACATGATGGTAACAGCACAAGTTCCTCTCACCAGTGCTTCCTGGTCCAGGTAACTGATATATCATAAAAAACTGAACAAAGTCCCTTTTTTGGAAATAGTCAGCACATAATACAGGTAGCACTTGACTTGCAGTCATTTGTTTAGCGACCTAAGTTATAACGGCACTAAAAAAGTGACTTGACCAGCCCTTGCACATACGACCATCACAGCATTCTCCACGGTCATGTGATCAAAACTCGGTATTTATGACAGTTGCGGTCCCAAGGTGATGTGATAACCATTTGTAACCTTCCCAGATTTTAACAAGC